GGCCCAGGCTGAGGGCCCCCCCCCCTCCGAGTGCACAAATTTTTGTGCACCGGGCCTCTAGTTAATAATAATCATCATAATAGCTAACATTTATTAACTGCCTATTATGTGCCAGAATCTGTTCTAAGTGTTTTATATTTATTAACTCTGTCCTCACATTATGATCATCTCTGTGTTTGTTTTCTTTTTTTTTTTTTTTTAATTAATCCTCACCTGAGGGTATGCTTTTGTTGATTTTAGGTCTAGAGAGAGGAAGGGAGAGAAAGAGAGAGAGAGAGAGAGAGATACATTGATTGGTTGCCTCCTGCAGAGGTCCCAACCAGGGCTGGGATTGAGCCTGCCCTTGACCGGAATCGAATCCGGGACCCCCCTTCAGTCCGTGGGTTGAAGCTCGATCCACTGAGCCAAACCAGCTAGGGCCTCCTTTGTTTTTCAAAAAGGTAAGTCATCTTTTTCTTAAGAACCAGATTTCATTTTCCCTCATAAAAATGAAGAGCTAAAACATATTTGTAAAAAAAAATTTAAAGCCTAAATGTGTGATAAAAGGGAGAATGATTTATATAGCACTTAAAACATGATGAGATTTTAGGGAATCATTAAAAATGATCTACCTTTTTGCCATTTTGATAACAATATTAATAACCATCATCCTTGATGATTATTAAAATGATAGTTATAAAGACTGAATAAATATTGGAAAATATTTGCTCTTACTTTGAGAGGAAAATGATTTTTCATGGTCTATTTTCTTCTTAAATTGAGTGTTTAACTTTTATAGTTACTCATAATGGAGGGGGAAGGAATAAGGACATCTTGCTAGCCAGTCAGAACAGCTGAGTCAACTCCTGTGATCATTTAGCTAACAGATGTCACAGTTAGTGCATCTTTATGTTGAAATATTTGACAAATTAATAATTACAAATATATATTTAAAAACATATACTATGCTAGATTAAAAACAGGGTAGTGGGATTATATATGATTCCCATCATTTAAAATGTTAACTTTTAAAGAAAAAAGGAAATGGTGGTTATTATATGTAAGAGGTAATACACTTTAATCCTAGATTCTGAAGCAGGAGGGTTGCAAACAAGGGAACTAGTTCCCAAAGGCTCAGAAATTGTTTCATGAGTAGGACAGGCTAGAACAAGGCAGGTTAGTTATTCCCTGTCCCTGAGGAACCAGGTCACTGGATGCAGAGCCAGGGTGAATAGGATTATTTCCTGTAATCTCAAGGGTGCCAGTTGTAGATTTGATTCTTCAGCAAGGTCAGAGAAACTCAAGAGCTGAAGTTATAGCTTTTTTTTTTGAGGGTCGGCACAGTGTATCATCTCTTATTTCTACTTTAAAAAATATTATTAATATTATTGATTTTAGAGAGGAAGAGAGGGAGAGAGAGATAGAAACACCAATGATGCCCTAGTGGCTAGGATAGTGGATAGAGCATTGACCTGTGGACTGAATGGTCCCAGGTTCGATTCCGGCCAAGGGCACATGCCTGGGTTTCGGGCTCAATCCCCAGTAGGAGGCATGCAGGAGGCAGCCTATCAGTGATTCTCATCTTTGATGTTTCTATATCTCTCTCCCTCTCTCTCTGAAATCAATAAAAATATCTTAAAAAAAGAAACATCAATGATTAGAATCATCAATTGGCTGTTTCCTGCATGGCCCCTACTGGGGGTTGAACATGCAACCTGGGCATGTGCCCTGACTGGGAATTGAACCGTGATCTTCTTGTTCATGCATGAGTTGATGTTCAACCACTGAGCAACACTGGCCTGGCTTCAATTTCTTTTAATAAAAGCGTAATATGGTAATTAGACTGGACAGCCAAACGACCTTGTGGATATCATTCTGGACGTCGGGACAAGGCAGAGGCGGTTAGGGGTGATCAGGCAGGCAGGTGAGTGGTTAGGGACAATCAGGCAGGCAGGCAGAGGGGTTAGGGGCAATCAGGCAGGCAGGCGACTGGTGAAATCAGTTAATACTGATCGCTACCTACAACAAATAATCAATTTGAACCACGCTTTGATCGTAAAACAACCAGAATGGGCCAGAAGACATGGCAAAGTAATTTTGCTTCACGGTAACGCACCATCACACACTTCAAAACCAGAAGCATCGATCAGACCCTCAAACCTCGAGGGAAGCCCTAGCTGGCTTGGCTCAGTGGATAGAGCCTCGGCCTGCGGACTGAAGGGTCCCAGGTTCAATTCCGGCCAAGGGCACGTGCCTGGGTTGCGGGCTCAATCCCCAGTGGGGGTGTGCAGGAGGCAGCCGATCAATGATTCTCTCTCATCATTGATGTTTGTATCTCTCTCTCCTTCTCCCTTCCTCTCTGAAACCAATAAAGAAATATATATTCAAAACAACAACAACAACAAAAAACCAAAAAAAAAACACCTCGAGGGAAGGTAGGGGAGGGTGGGGGTAAGGGGGAGAGATCAACCAAAGGACTTGTATGCATACATATAAGCCTAACCAAGGGACACAGACACCGGGAGGGGGGTGGTGAGGGGGTAATGGGAGGATAAGGACACATATGTAATACCTTAATCAATAAAGAAAAAAATGATTAAAAAAATAAAATAAAAATAAAGACACGTTCAAAGATCTTGCCTGGGAAGTATTAACCCACCTGCCGTATTCACCAGACCTTGCTCCTTTAGGTTACCACTTGTTCCAATTAATGGCACATGCACTTTCTGAGCAGCACTTCAAAACATACGAAGAAGTGGAAAATTGGGTCTCTGAATGGTTTGCCTCAAAACAAGAAAAGTTCTATTGGGATGTTACCCACAAATTACCTGAAAGATGGGGGAAATGTGTAGCTAGCGATGGACAGTACTTTGAATAAAGCACTTTCGATGTTTCTCTTGAAATTATCGTGTTTTCTTTGATTACAAAATCTGTATTATTAACCAGTACACCTGGTATGTGGAATCTAATGAACAAAATAAACTGTTGAACAAAATAGATCCAGAGACATAGAAGCTTAGAACATACTGTTGAATCTCAGAGGGAAGGTGGAGGTGGGTGGGATGGTAGAAGAGATCAACCAAAGAAATTGTATGCATATATGCATACCCCATGGACTTAGACAGTAGGGTGGTGGAGGCCTGGGGTGGAGGGGTAGAGGTAGGCTATAAGGGGTCAATGGGAAAAAAATGGGGACATATGTAATACTTTCAACAATAAAGATTTTAAAAAATTGACTTTAAAGAAAAATCTAGTCCTAACTTTAACAATGCTTGGCTTAATAGGTGCTCAGGAAATGTTGGTTAAATAAATTAATTTGTGACATTTTTCATGATGCCTTCTTTTTCTTTTGCAGTTAAAAGAGCCAAATTCCAGGGTTCACCAGGTAAGATCCATCTTTACTTGCTATGTTCCCTCATACGTTCTGTGATTTAAAAGCAATCTTTTAAAAATTAATTTTATTGTATTTATTTATTAAATTAATTAAACATACTAAATTCATTAAAACATTAATTAAAAAATCAGTATGGGGAGATGTTGGTCAAGGGGGTACAGAGTTTTAGTTAAGCAAGATGAAAAATTTCTGGAGATCTAATGTACAGCAATGTGTATATAGTTGACAAGTGTTGTATACTTGTAATTTTCTTTCTTTTTTTAGGAGGCCAGTGCCTTATCCATTAGGCCACTGGGGCCTGTTATTTTCTTTCTTTTTTTAAAAAAAATGTTTTGATTGATTTTTAGAGGGAGAGGAAGGGCAGAGAGATAGAGAGATAGAAACATCCATGAGAGAGAAACATCATCAATTTGCTGCCTCCTGCATGCTCCCTACTGGGATTAAGCCTGCCTGCAACCTGTGCATGTGCCCTGACTAGGACCGAACCAGGGATATCTTGGTTCATGGGTTGACGCTCAACCACTGAGCCACACTGGTAGGCTATACTTGTAATTTTTTTAAAAAATATATTTATTGATTTTTTACAGAGAGGAAGGGAGAGGTATAGAGAGTTAGAAACATCGATCAGCTGCCTCCTGCACACTCCTCACTGGGGATGTGCCCACAACCAAGGTACATGCCCTTGACCGGAATCGAACCTGGGACCCTTGAGTCCGCAGGCTGACGCTCTATCCACTGAGCCAAACCAGTTAGGGCTATACTTGTAATTTTTTAAGAGGGAAGATCTTAAGTGTTTTCAACACACATACTCCCTCTCTCACTCATTCAAAATGTAAGAGGTAGTGATGAATATTTTAATTTGCTTGATTGTGGTGATTATTTCACGGTGTATCTTATATCAAATAATCAGGTTGTATCCCTTAAAATATACAGTTTTAAATTGTCAATTATACCTCAGAAAAGCTGGGGGGAAAAACAATGCTGTTGTAAAACTTTAAAGAAATCAGAATCTATATATCTATCTAGCAAAAAGTTAAAGTCCCCTTACTTCTTGACCAACTCAATTATACTTCCTGAAATAACTATTTAGAGGTTTTTATATATCATTCAGACTTTTTTTCTGTGTATGTGTGTGTACACTACTGGATTAGTTACACATATCTTTGTGCAACCTAGTTTTTTCCCAGCACATCATGAAAATCTTTTCTTATGTGTGTGTATATCTGGTTCTTTTTTTAAAAAATGTACAGAACTTTGTTGTAGATTTGTACCCTAGATACTTGATTGAATATTTAGGTTGTTTCTAATTTCTTGCTATTTTAAGAAGTAAATGTTCTTGTGCATTTATCATTGCCTGCTTTTACAAATGTAAATGTACACTAGAGTCCAGAAATAGAATTGCTGAGCCAACGGTATGTATTTTAGAGAAATTTGGTAGATGCTGCCACATTAACCTTCTGAAAGTTTTTGCTAGATTATACTAACCTACACAGTGTGTGAGGGTTTATTTTCCCAAATCCTTATCAACATGAAATAATATGAAACTCTTTAATCTTTATCCATCTGAAGGTAAAAATAGTATCTCCTTATTTTTATACACATTTCCTTAATTGTAAATGTCAAGTTACTCTGATTACTGCTGGGGAAGGGAAGAGCTTTGGAAATAACTAGAAAAAAAATGAACATGGTTGGGAACCCAGGGAAATCTGAAAAACCAAGCAAAACCTTGAGTGCAACAGGAACTAAAGCAGGTTCTGAGCTTTCTACTCTCTCCACTGGTTTTGGATTAAGACTTTTTTTTTTTTTTTAAGTAAGAATCTGTTCCAGCTGGCTTTCTATGCTTGCATACAGCCCATGATGGCTTTCTCCAGTGGAGTGTGTATGCTACTCATTCAAGCTTTATAACCAACCTGAAGCTACCACTGTTTCTTTGTTTTCCTTACTTACAATATTTTGAGAAGGAATCATATTGGTCGCACCTTTTGGCCATCCCATAGACTGGATGCTCTTGAGTGGCATCTGCCCCTGATCTAATTAGCTACGGTTGGATATGGGGAGTGGAGTACAAAATCATATGATATGAAACATAGCTCAGTAGTCTACTGCACTGGGACACTGGATATGGATGGGAATTATATATAAAATACATAATTTTTAATGATACTTAAGAGAAAGATTTACCTTCTGCTAGAAGTGTATGACAGGGACCATTTTCTCACATCTCTAACATTAGGTAATCATTTTAAGCAATCTTTGCCAGTTTGATGAGTCAAAGATAACTTTCTTTTTCATTTTATAAAATTATGGTGAACTTGTTTATATGAAAAAACTCTCAATTCAGTGCCCTCATCATGGCTGATGTGAAGGTAGTAGGGTGAGAATAGAATGCGCAGTAGGTCAGATCTCTGAGTTTTGAAATTCAGGCTACCTACCTTTGTTTAATACTCAACTTATATTCTCAGAGAATTTCCTTTTCCCAACTCTGTAATAATGTTTCTGATAATTGAATAGATCAAGCTTGAAATTAATTTCCTTTATGAGGGTTTATCCTGAATTCTTATCCCTTTCAAAAGCTAGAGTTTACCCTTTCTTCTTCTACAATCCTTTATTACTTTTTCTCTTAATGGCACTTTTATTTTCTACATTTAAAGTTATATATCTTTCCTATTAGATGAATTATATTAGTTTTTTCAAGCTGCAGGTGTGCTATAAAATTAAATTAGTTGGTTATGTTAACATTTTTATAGATTAAATGAAATAGAATAGTAAATATCAATGTACCATCTCATATTTTATGAAGCTTTGTTCTAGTTTATATGTGTTTGTGTGTCTCCTGGGTCAAATACATTTCTTAAATTTGCAAAACACTTATGGGTTATGCTTTTGAAGGTAATATGTGTTTTATATATTTTTTGCGACTCTACTATGTTTTGAATGATGCTACTTTGTACATCAAGTAATTAAAAATTAATTTTATTGTATTTATTTATTAAATTAATTAAACATACTAAATTCATTAAAACATTAATTAAAAAATCAGTATGGGGAGATGTTGGTCAAGGGGGTACAGAGTTTTAGTTAAGCAAGATGAAAAATTTCTGGAGATCCAATGTATAGCAATGTGTATATAGTTGACATTTTCCATTTCTTCTATATGTGATGCTTTACTTTGGATATTATTTAATTCCAAAGGCTGTGTGAGATTGGGTAACAGTCTGAGCACTAAGTATTACATCTTCATTTTGCATTTTTTTCAAAGATAAATTTAACACATATGTGACCCTGAAAGTGCAGAATGTGAAGAGCACAACTGTAGCAGTGCGTGGTGATCAACCTTCCTGGGAACAAGATTTTATGTTGTAAGTACTTTGCAGCAGCAGCGTACCTACAATATTTGATTACCTTTTCAAGGTAATTACATTGGATTAAACAATTACAGGCCCAAAATTTTGTGTATATGTAAGGTTTATAAAATATGTTAAATATTTAAAAACATTTAAATGTATTAGCATATGTTAAATATTCTTTTTGAAAACTACAGAGTTACAGGAACAATTGAGGTATGTGGAAGGTGAAGTATGTCTGCAGTTTTGTTCTCTTGTGGATTCGTAATCTATTCTTAGAGACGAATTATGAATGTGAGTCAACTCCTGATAGCTTGGAAGTTTTTAGAGACAGGAACTGGGTCCTGGATTATGTCTTCCTCAAAGAACCAAGTCATATATATGTGCTCAGGAAACATTAAGTAAATGAACAAATGAGCTCATTATTACATTCTATATTCTATTGTATTTATGTAAAGGGGAAATTTTTCTTTGCTTCACTTATTTTCAACACATTTGATTTGAATTCTATGGCTATAATACCACATCCCAAAATTTTGAATCTGAGAACATTTATCTTACTAGTACAACAGGGAAGCCAAGCTTTTCTCTAACGTGTTAACTTGAAATTTCTGCATGTGATAAGTAGATGTTGTTTTCCTGAGAATACCTTTTTGCTTTTTCTGCTGGAATTGGCCTTTTCTCATCTTTCTTGCATTTCTTCTCAAATAAGCTTGTGTTTCAACAAGAGCTTTCTGGAGAATGTTTTTAGCATTAACATAAGTGTTTGCTTGTTCCACTGTAAGGCAATAGTTAAGTTTGGGTTAGCCCTTCCAAGCTGATATTCCACCAATACATGACATTGCTTTTGCTTATTGGTTATTTGGCTCTTTCCAGAATAATTTCTTTTAAAAAAAATTCTTAGTTATTATTATAGGAAAATCATCATTATTTATCATTATCCTGTGATAATCATTTTGTTAATAAGTGGCAGTGCCTACTTTAACTGATAATGTCTAATGAGTTAATGTCTAATGAGGAACTGTGTGGTATGAACTGGCACACTAGTGTCCCTCACTTGTCCCTGACCATGTGTTCCCATCAAACTTAGATGTTCTCAGGGATGTTTTTTCTTCTGCTTACAACCCATTTAATAAATCTTGTGAAGAAGCCTTGTTTTATCTACAAGTTTCCTGTATACAATCAATAGATATAAGTTGTGGGCAGTGTTAGTATTAACAAGAAAACATATAAGACTATTGTCTAAGGGTGGATGAAGAGTGTACGCAGGCAGCCTTTGTAGTAATGCCCATATTGCTTGGCTTCACTTTTTTTTTTTTAAATGAAACTGTTAATCTAATCATAATTGTAGCTCCAAAGGAGAGGGAACAGACTAACAAAGGCATTTTTCTATAGATACCTTACATAGGTTTCTAGGAATCTAAACAATGGGTGCAGCATTCTGGGGCATTTTGATTTTTCTTGACAAAATCCTGGTAATAAAATATTCAAGGTAAACAGGAAATGTAGCTGTTTCCTTCATATTATCTGGCTTTATTTAAAGGATTTTTTTTTCTTTCTTTTAGTGAGATTAGTCGCCTGGACCTGGGTCTAAGTGTGGAGGTATGGAACAAAGGACTGATTTGGGACACCATGGTGGGTACCGTGTGGATTGCACTGAAGACTATTCGACAGTCAAATGAGGTCAGTCCTTGCATTGCCCACTTATAGGTATGGTTCTAGCCTTAGTTCTCCCCACTCAATCTCCATTCAACTAATATTCATCCATACATCTCAGATTGCTCTGCCCCCTTGCTAATTAGAGGGCATGCAACCAGCTTATTCCTCACCTCACCTAGAGGTTTAGGGGATTTTATTTTGGTCTGGTCTTTCCTCTGCCTTGTGACTGAATTCAAAAGTGCTAGAACACCTCTTTAAACTTATCAGGTAGACAGCCCTTCTGAGTACTGTGTGTGTGTGTGTGTGTATGTGAGAGAGAGAGAGAGAGAGAGAGAGAGAGAGAGAGAGAGAGAGAGAGAGAGGAAGGACAGATAGAGAGGAGAGATAGAGAGAGAGAGGAGAGATATCAGGAGGGTAAAGGAGGGAAGGGAGAGACTGTGTGAGATTGATTTAGGGTACCTGTGGTTTTTACCTTTCCCACTAAGATACTTTCCTGAGAGGAGTCCATTAAACTTCCTCAGCCATCTGGATGGGTTCTGTTCTCTACTCTGGATCCTATTTTCTGCTTTTTTTCTTTGGGTCACTCATCCCCAGGGGACTGGTTTCAGTCTTCCTTCTACATGTAACCCTAACAGGGTTTAAGGAACTACCAGTTTTGGCAATTGGTATTCACAGTGTCTCTGTACATTATTTTCAAGACTGAACTCCCATTCCACTTCCCCAGGTTAGAATTCAGCATAATTTCTCCATACACACTCACTTTGAATGTGGATAGAATCTATAGTATTCCTATATATCTTTTACATGGACTGGGAGTTTTCTCTGGGAGTGGGGGTGATGAAAATGTGACCCTCCTTCCGGAATTTCTTTTGGTTCTGGTTAAATTTGTACTCCCCCAGCAATGGGCAGTTCATTTTCATTGTGGCCCCAGTTCAAGTCTACTTAACTAGCAATGTTAGTAGCTCTTTACTGATTAGAAATAGAAACACATGAAGTGACACAGTCATTAAGAATGACACAGATTAAATATTGATCCATGGAGATGCTTGTTTTTTCGGTTTGGTACTTCGGAAATTCTTTCCTCAGTGGGCTTGCAGAGAGCAGGAGAGGTAGGTGGTGACAGTGGTGTGTTTGCCTTATCAGGAAGTGAGTGGCCCTCAGAAGCTCTCCAACAAGGAAATTCAGAGAAAAACACTTGGCTCTTAAACCAAGAGGGGAATCATGAAAAAGTAAAGTTTAATCTTAGATCTCTGTTTTCCAGGAAGGGCCCGGGGAGTGGTCCACATTGGAGGCAGAGACATTAATGAAAGATGATGAGATCTGTGGAACTAAAAACCCAACTCCTCATAAAATTTTGCTTGATACAAGATTTGAGTTGCCTTTTGGTGAGTCTGTTTGATTAGATTTTAATGTCATTTAATACTTTTTACCATATTGTTTCAAATTGTTTGCTATTTGTTTTATTCCTGTGTCTTTTGTCTTATCAGCCATCTTTTTTGAGGGCATTCTTGTCTTCCTCTCTATTTCCTATAATGCCTATCCCAGGGATGATGCAAAGTTGATGCTAGAATGGTGCTAATTAAAGAATCTATACTAAAAGCATTCTCTTTAAGTATTTACTTTTTTATGACTGTTTAGTATGATTTATGAAATACCTGCGTGTTAGAGAACATCAATAATTTGTTCTTGTGATAACATTTTAACATTTATTGTCTTGAAGTGAATGTATAACTTATGATCTGTTCATTTTAACAATGACGTAGCACTAATAAGTAGAATAGTAATTTAAAAGGAAATTTAAAAAAAAATCACAAAAAATACATTCCCTGGCAAAAATTCAAATAGTATGGAAATGTACATGAATAAAAGTTGTTTCTCTTCCCACCTCCTTTGCATTCTATTTTCAGTGGTTACAGAAATTAACCACTATTAATTTTTTTGTGTCTTGGTTTAGAAATAAGAAATTTCTTTTGCAGAAATTTATTTTGACAAAATTTGAATCATATGTATATATTACATATAGTGATTCAGTCGTGTGCCGCATAATGACATTTCAGTCAATGACGGGCCACCTATATGATGGTGGTATACCATAAAGCCTAGGTGTATAGTAGGTTATATCATCTAGGTTTGTGTAAGTACACTCTATGATGCTTGCACAATGATGTAATTGCCTACTGATGCATTTCTCAGAACATACCTTGTTATTAAACCGCTCATAACTGCATAAAGTGTTGTATGAACTACAAAAGCACATTATCTTGGACATTGTTCTATGTTATACTTAAGGTCTATCTTGCTGGTCTGAACAGATGCCTATATGGTAAATGATCTAAGCAACCCTTTATTAATTGACGTGTAGATTTTTAAAAAAATATTACATACTGCTGTAATGAACAGCTTTGTATATCTGTGCCCATTTGTGAGTCTAGGAGAAAGTCCTTAAAGTAGAATTTAAAGAATGGGTCCAGGGGATGGGAGTGGCCGGGGAGAGGTCAATGGGGTGAAAAAGGAGACATATGTAATACTTTAAACAATAAAGAATTTAAATAAAAAAAAATAAAACAAAATAAAGAATGGGTCAAACAATATATGCACCATTACTTTTCATAGTATTGCCAAGTTACTTGTCAGAAAGATTGTGCCATTTTATAGTCTTATCAGCTGTATCCAAGATGTCCCTTTTCTACACATCTTTGCTAACATTTTGTATTTCACAATCTTTAACCTTTTTCTGTGTAATTGGTTGATATGGTATCTTGTTTTAATTTAGTTTAATTTTAATTTTGACTGTTCACACTGAGCCAAACCAGCTAGGGCCTGGGCTTTTAAACCATAATATATTTAACCACTCCTTTTGTTGGGTATTTTCTTTGTTCAAAGTTTATACTATTATAAATTATACTGCAGTAAACATAATCACAGCTCTATATTTTTCTTAAAACTATTTTGAGGGGTAAGGCAGGAATACATGCACAGTAGTTTACAAAGTTATCCAGTAAAAATTACTAAGCCTCCCTCACAAATAAATTCTCTTCCTTATAGGCTGTCATGATTAGTACTTTCTTGTGTATCTTTGCAGAGTCAGTCTTTGAATCTATAAGCAAATATAGACTTAATCTCTTTTAAAAACACAAATAGTAGTATATTCGAACACATTTGGTGTCCCTGATGCTCTCCACTTAACAGTGTATCTTAGAGCAGTGGTTCTCAACCTTGGCTGCACATTAGAATCACCTGGGAATCTTTTTAAAATCCTGATTTCTGGGCCTCATCCTCCGGAAATTCTGTTTCTTTGTTACTAATGTTGTGGCCCCACCCCATAACAAAGAAACACAATTTCCGGAGGATGAGGCCCAGAAATCAGGATTTTAAAAAGATTCCCAGGTGATTCTAATGTGCAGCCAAGGTTGAGAACCACTGTCTTAGAGAATCATTCTACATTATTCTACATCAGAACTTATAGACCTGCAGCATAGCAGCTCTTCCTGTCCTCTCACTTCTTTTAAACAATTACAGGGTACACCATTTTATGGATGAGGAAGTGCTACACAAACTAGGTAGTAGATTATTTGAAGGTTTTATTATAAGACTTTGAAATACTGCCACTAATTGCTGAAAAGCAGTTTGAGGGGAAGGAGGTGAAGTTTTAGGCAGGAAGATATATCTGTCTAAATGTCTCCAAAGTTGCTCTGATCCATATGTTGCCTCATTGTTTCTCTTTCATGCTGTATATATCTGATGTTTATAAAAGGTGAGTTTTGTTTTGGGGTAAGTTGTAATAGTCAATCTTAAATATATAGAAATGAGTATATACCATTATTAATTTTTCTTTTTTTATTGTGGTAAAATACATATAACATGAAATTAACTATCTTAACTATTTTAAGTGTACAGTTCAGTGATATTAATACATTCGTAATGTCGTGAACCATCACCGTCATTCATATCCATAGCTTTTTTTCATCTTGTAAAAATCAAACTCTGTACCCATTAAAAATAACTCCTATTCTCCTTACCCCTCAGCCCCTGGCAACCACCATTCTTTCTATGTCTATGATTTTTTACTATTCTAAGCATCTCAGATAAGTGGAATCATATAGTATTTGTCTTTTTGTAACTGGCATGTTTCTCAGCATGATATTCTCAAGGTTCGTCCATGTTTCAACATATGTTCCTTCCTTGTTAAGACTGAATAATATTCCATTTAATATACATGCTACATTTTGCTTATCCATTCATTCATTGGTGGACACTTGGGTTGTTTCCACATTTTAGCTACTGTGAATAATGCTGCTATGAATGTGGGTGTGCAGAAATCTCTGAGATTCTGCTTTAATTTCTTTTGAGTATATTATTACTCCAAGATGGAATTGCTGCATTATATGGTAATTCTATTTTTAATTTTTAAAATATTGCCATACTGTTTTTTTCCTAGTGCCTGTACCATTTTATAGTCCTACCAATAGTATGCAAGGGTTCCAGTTTCTCACATCCTCACCAACACTTGTTATTTTCTGTTTTTTTTGTGTGTGTGTGTATGTTTTTTTTTTATGGTAGCCATTCTAATTGGTGTGAAGTAGTATCTCATTGTAGTTTTGATTTGTATTTCCCTAATGATCAGTGTTGTTGAGCATGTTTTCATGTGCTTATTGGCCATTTGTATATATTTGGAGAATCTATCAAGTCCTTCATTTTTTTAATTGGGTTTTTGTTTTGTTGTTGAGTTTTAAGAGTTCTCTGTATATTTTGGGTATTAATCCCTTATCAGATATTTGATTTGCAGATATTTTCTCCCATTCTGTTGGTTGCCTTTTTATTCTATTGGTATTATCTTTTACTGCAGAAAGTTTTTGATTGTCATAAAGTCCAATTTGTCTATATTTTCTTTTGTTGCCTGTGCCTTTGGTGTCCTATTCAAGAAATCATTGCCAAATACAATGTCATGCAGCTTTTGCCCTCTGCTTTTTTCTAGTAGTTTTATGGTTTCAGGTCTTGAATCATTTTGAGTTAATTTTTTTTTTATGGTGTTAGGTAAGGATCCAACTTCATTCTTTTGCATACAGATATTTAGTTTTCCCAGCAACATTTGTTGAAAAGACTCTTTTCCCCATTGAATGTATCCTTGTCAAAAAATCATTTGACCACATATATGAGGGTTTAATTCTTAGCTCTCTATTCTATTGATCTATATATCTGTCTTTATGTCAGTATCACACTGTTCCCCCCCCCCACTTAAAATATTTGTATTAAGATATAATTGACATTTAACACTGTAAATTTAAGGTGTACAATGTATTGATTTGATACATTTATATATTGGAAAATGATTAACACCATCATAGCATTAGCTGATACCTCTATCATGTCACATAATATAGTACCACACTATTTTGATTACTATCTATATATATAAAAGCCCAGCGATTGGAATGGCAGAACGACCAGAGTGACCGGTGGCTATGACGTGCACTGCGGCAGCCAAACCAGTCTGATCCGGGCCCTGATCGGCCCAACCCCTGCCCTGATTGGGGGTGGAGCTGGCCAGCCAACCACCTGCAGCCCCTACCCCTGGCCAGCCTGGCCCGATGGGCCCCCATTGGGGCAGGTAGGCCAGACCCCACCCTGCACGAATTTGTGCACCAGGCCTCTAGTAGCATTATAGTAAATTTTGAAATTAGGAAATGTGAGTCCTCCAGCTTTATTCTTACTTTTAACCCTTTGTGGTCCAATTTTATTTTTGGAATTCAAACAGTCTGGTCCAAATTAATTGACGGGATTGAATGTTGAAGTTATCTGTCTCACTAGACCTCAGCTCGACATTGGACCTGCTCTTAGCACTTGGTCTGTCGAGTCAGCCTCCACGTTGGACCGAAAAGGGTTAAAATTGTTGTGGCTATTTGGGATCTGTTGAGATTCCATATTAATTTTAGGATGTGGTTTCTATTTCTGTAAAAAACATATTGGGATTTTGATAGTGATCACATTGAATCTGTAGATCATTTTGAGTAGTATTAACACATTAACAATATTAAGTCTTCTGGTCCAGTGGAAATAATAGAACATTATTTTGGTTTTTGTAAAGATTCAAGATAATGTTCATAGAAAGAATGAAGCCACCAGTAAAATTAGTCAATTGCTACCACCCTTCTAAGTTTGATTATCCGATCGAACAAAGCATTATTGACCCATGATTAAATTATTAACCTTGTAATCTGGTTTCTTCTTTTTCATGGTAGATATCCCAGAGGAAGAAGCCAGATATTGGACCTACAAATTGGAGCAAATCAATGCCTTGGGTGCTGACAATGAGGTAGGAACAGCCTTATTTGCAATATGGAGAGATAGAGAAAATCTTTTTATAGAACTCTTTATAGTTTTTCAACAGAGGGACCTGTGAGTATGTTCAAGAATGAAAGACTTTAAACTGTGTTAAAGAAACAGGCATCTCACCCTAACCGGTTTGGCTCAGTGAATAGAGCGTCAGCCTATGGACTCAAGGGTCCCAGGTTAGATTCCGGTCAAGGGCATGTACCTTGGTTGTGGGCACATCCCCAGTGGAGGGTGTGCAGGAGGCAGCTGATCGATGTTTCTTCTCATCGATGTTTCTAACTCTCTATCCCTCTCCCTTCCTCTCTGTAAAAAAATCAATAAAATATATTTTAAAAAAAGAAAAAAAAAAGAAAAAGGCATCTGGAAGATTGCCTGACATTTCATTAGAAGGATTTTTCTCCTACTTTTCCTATTCTTCTCAGTGTTGCCCAGAAGTGGCTGAATTGGCAGTAGTCTGGCTCTAGATTGTTGGGGAAGGAGCTTATACCAGAAAAACTGTCCTCTTGTTACACAGATGAACAAAGGCATTTCTTCTGCTAGTTCCCAGATTTTTGGATCTATATATCCTTATTTGTTTGCTTTTTTAAAGGATGTTTAGACTATTACATGCTTGGTGTCCTGCTGTACTAACTTATCTCCAGAAATGGGTCTGTTGCACAGGAAAGAACACAACTCAATCTGGGCCATCAGGAATAGGGAATGCTCCTGATATTGTTGGCGGAGGGAAAAATAAGTTATTTTACTTTTGGAAAAGTACCACTTTTGCTACTCTGGTTTTGATTTCCATTTTCCTGATGATTAGTGATGTTGAACATCTTTTCATATGTACGTTGGCCATCTGTATCTTCTGTGGAAAAATGTCCTTTCATGTCCTTTGCCCAGTTTTTGATTGGGTTATTTATTTATTTTGTTATTGAGTTGTTTGTGTTTTATATATTAACCCCTTATTGGATATATCATTTATGAAATCTTGATAATTACTGAATCTTGGAGGTAAGTGTAAAGGTTTCAGTTTGCTATGCTCATTTTTATGTCTGCTTAAAAATTTTATGTCGGTTTTATGCTGTGAAAACCATTAGGTGAAAGGCTGGTGGGATCACTTCATAATGGATGAAATAGGCTGATATCAGTTGAATCCACTATTGAAATTTAATATCACTAAAAGTGACATAAGACACCATCACCCCACCAAAAAGAAAAAAAACAAACCCCACACACACCTTCAATATAAATTTCAATCTAATCCTCAAACTACTAGAAATAATTTCCAGTTTAAATAAAGTAAGAGGGATAGAGGAACATGGTAAATAAAACCTTGGGATATAATCAGCCAAATCTAGAATGTACAGCATTCTACATAACAAATGAGAGAAGAAGAAACAACTGTAGAATTAAAATGATTTAAAAGACATAATAACCAAATATGTACAATTTGTTTGGATCATGAATTGAACAAATCAACTGTGACAAGATATCTTTGAGACAATAAAGGAAATTTGAATTCTGAGTAAGGTAGGCCTTAGCCGGTTTGGCTCAATGGATAGAGCATCGGCCCGTGGACTGAATAAATAAATAGGTAAATATAAATAATAAATAAATAAATAAGTAAATAGTACCTGACTTCACCCTGGCTGGTGTGGCTCAGTTGGTTGAGCATTGTCACATGCAACAAAAAGCTGCTGGTTTGATTTCCGGTCAGTGCATATGCTTGGGTTGTAGGCTTGATCCCCACCCAGTAGGGGCTGTGCAGGAGGCAGCCCATTGATGTTTCTCTCTCTCCCCACTCCCTTCTCCTCTCTCTAAAATCAATAAAAACATATTACAAAAATAAAATAAATTGTACTTGACTTATGATCCTTCCTATCTACCTCCGATATTTGTATCATAGGTTATTGCTTGTATAGCATCCTATCTAATAATAGACAAACATGGTAATTGACCGTACCTTCGCTACGCCTCCCATGGGCTAATCAGCGAGATATGCAAATTAACTGCCAACAAAGATGGCGGTTAATTTGCATACGTAGGCGTGAAGCGGCGGAGCGAAGACTGAAGGCGGCTCCGGCCAGGGCAGTGAAGGCTTGAAGGTGGCTCCGGCCGGAGTGAAGGCCGGGTCCCGGAGGAAAACCGGTGCCGGCAGCAAGGGAAGGGAAGGCCTATTGCACAATCTTTTCGTGCAACAGTCCTCTAGTTTCATATATAAAAGTATATTTTTATACAAAAAATGTTTTGTATTTTGGATCCAACCACTTGAAAGGCCTTTCTCTACTGACACTGCTATATAAACCATCATCAACTTTTGTCTGGATAATTGCAATCATTGGTCTATTTCCCTTTTTGTTCCCTACAGTTTATCTCACACAGTAGCCAGAGTGACTTTTTATTTTTTTAAAATATGTTTTAAAAAAATACATGTTATTGATTTTTTTACAGAGAGGAAGGGAGACGGATAGAGAGTTAGAAACATCGATGAGAGAGAAACATGGATCAGCTGCCTCCTGCACAACCCCTACTGGTGATGTGCCTGCAACCAAGGTACATGCCCTTGACCGAAATTGAACCTGGGACCCTTCAGTCCACAGGCTGAGGCTCTATCCACTGAGCCAAACCAGTTAGGGCTTTAAATATGTTTTTATTGATTTTTTTTTTTAGAGAGAGAGGAAGGGAGAGGAAAAGAGATAAAAACATTGATGAGAGAGAAACATTGTTCGGCTGCTCCTGCACACCCCTTACTGGGGCAAGCCCGGAGCCTGGGCACCGGGAATGGAACTGGTGACCTCTTGATACATTGGTCAATGCTCTACCAACTGAGACACACCTGATGGGTCAGAGTGATTTTTTAAATGTTTATTAGTTTGAGAAAGAGAGGAAAGGAGGGAAGGAGGGAGGAGGGGAGAGAGAGAGACGAGAGAGAGAGACAGACAGAGAGAGAGAGAGAGAGAGAGAGAAACATTGATTTGTTGTTCTACTTATTTATGCAATCATTGGTTGATTCCTGTATGTGCCTGGCTGGAGATTGAATCCACAACCTTGGCAAAGCAGGACTATACTCTCACCAATTGAGTTAGCTGGGCAGGACCAGAGTGATTTTTAAAGTGTAATTAAGTCACATCTCTCTTGTGTTTAAAACTCTAAATGGCCTCCCAATACACTAGAATAAAATCTAACTCCTTACCATGGTTTACATACTCTACTTCCCCATTGCCTGGAACAAGGCTTTGCACAATAAGTGCTCAAGAAATATCTGTTAAATGAGTGACACATTTATCGGCAATGTTAGGAAAGCTCTGTATTGCCCAGTATTTCACAGTTTATTAATAAGTGGCAGAGTCAGGATGAAAACTCCAGATTATTTGCAAGTTGCTGGACCACGTTGTTTTCCCAGTCTTCCAATGGGATCTGCACCAAACTATTCTGTCTTCCAAACTATATACCTGTGTTAAAGTGTTTATGTCTTTTTCTTTTTTGTTTTGCCTTTTCAAATCCTGCCCATCCTCAAGACTTAAATTTAATTAAAAATTTTAGAGAAAAATTTTTATGGCTTCAGTACTCTGTATTTGCTTTTTGCTTTTGTTAATTTTAACCCAATTCTCTTTCTCTTTCCCTCCCTCCCTCCCTCCCTTCCTTCCTTGAGAGAGTGGAAGGAAGGGAGGGAGGGAGGGAGAGAGAGAGAGAGAGAGAGAGAGAGAGAAATTGATGTGAAAGAGACACATCAATTGGTTGCCTTCCCCAATTGGTTGCCTTCCCCACATGTCCAGGCCAGGACCAGGACTAGGGATCAAACCTACAACCCAGGTATGTGCCCTTGACCAGAAATTGAACCCATGATCCTTTGATGCTCAGGCCAATGCTCTAACCATTTAGAAACACCAGCCAGGGCACTCTGTATTTGTTTTTTTGGTGGTAAATGGTGGTGGATTGGGTTGGGAAGGCTAGAGTGTAAATGTGAAGGGGACTGGAGTAGATTTCAGATGTTGCATTGTATGCTTAAATAAGTAATTGCACACATGACCTCATGAGGGAGCAAGCACTGTTACTTTTTTTTTTTTTTTTAACATCAGAAACTCAGTCTCGGAGAGGTTTTCAGTTCCATCACTCCAATGGGGAAATCTATACTTTATCCATAGGAAAACTTAGAAGACTGCATTTTCTAAGTCTTCTGAACCTTCTCCAAAACTAAGCCTTCTCTGCCTTGGCTGGGTGGCTCAGTTGGTTGGAGCATTGTCCTGAACACCAAAAGGTTGCAGGGTTGACTCCCAGTCAGGGCACATACCTAGGTTGTGGGTTCAATCCCCGGTCGGGGTGCGTACGGGAGGCAACTGATCAGTGTTTCTCACATAGATGTTTCTCTCTCTGTCTCTCTCTCTCCCCTTTCCTCTCTAAAAATAATACACGTCCTCCAGTGATAATTCTTTTAAAAAGTTAAAAAAACAACAACAGACTAAGCCTTCTACAGCTGCTTGGCAGGTGTCCTTGGCCAGAATGGTCTCTGCTATCCTGATTTAGCCCGTTGCATTGGACCAGTGTCATTTCTGATATTCTGGCCTTTATGTTGGGATCGCACAGGGAAATCAGCAGCAGGATCATCTGTTTCTTTTCAGTAAAAACTTTGACTCTCGTCAAACACTAAACCTTTTTACAGGTACCTGTGATTTTTTTCCCTCTTTACTTGGGCCTCTTATTATATGTGTGTTTTTTTTTCTTCTTTCTGCTTCTAGTATTCTATTCAAGAAGAAAGCCAGAGGAAGCCATTGCCCAGTGCTGCCGCCCAGTGTTGTAAGTGAGAAACTTATCTCTGAAGCTCTTAATCACAGCTTTCTGTGAGTTCTCCAAATGTGGCTTATTTTGAATTGGGGAGGATGGTGTTGTGGTGTGAGTAAACAGTATATATTCTAGAAACACACCTATGTATATATTCAGACCCATGCCTCCAATGGATCTCTGCCCAGTAGCTTTAGGAAGAGATCTTTTGGTTTTGTGTGGCTGTAGGCAGGGCAATGGTGCTCATCTTTTTTGTCCATTTGCCAACTTTTATCCCAGGAGGAATGATTTTACTTTTTCTATCTCCATTTACCAGTTATTATTTTTTTAAGACTTTGTTTAATGTCATTAACTCTGGAAAATCTTTCTGCCGCTTTGTCCTTCCCGCAAGTCTAGCTAGATGTCTCTCCTCTATAGTACCCTGTGCATACATTTATTATATAACCTACCATGTATTATAATCTATGTATATTTCTTTGACAGGAACACAAAGTTTTTAAAGGCATAGAAATTCTTCCTTTTGTGTTCCTAGCATCTGGCTCAATACCTGATACATAGTATAGTACGCCTCATTAAAGTTTGATAAATGTTTGAGTAAGAGAACTTGTCATTTCTCCTGAGATTAACTTATCCAAATCACACAGATTTCTTCTTGAAACGAGCCATGCATTGTTGCTATATTGCTACCTTCTCCTTAATTTCTCTTAAAACAGCTTGAGGATTCACTAAAGGAATGATTTGGAGACTGTTCTCTTTCAATTTTTCAAGCTGTGGGGTGTGTGTGTGTGTGTGTGTGTGTGTGTTGTACTTTTGTTGTTGTTGTTACTATAGTTTTTCTGAACCACATGTCAAACTCTTATCAATTGCATGTTGAAATTGGTAGTAATAGTAATTGTAGTAATACTACTACTAATAAAAACCATAGTATCTAACATTTTGAGGTCTTACAGTATGCCAGATGCTGGTCTAAGAACTAAAAAGTACTAACTTATTTGATCTTCACAACAACCCTAAGACATAGATTTTACTCTTGTCTCTCCATTTTTCAGATGAGGAAACTGAGGCATATAGAGATTGAGTAATTTGCCACAAATTACATAAGTTGTAAGTGGTGAAGTAAATATTCAAACACAGACAACCTGACTTGATAGTCCATGCCTTGAACCGCTTTGTTATATTACCTCCATCATATTGTTTTTGAGAATGAAAACCTCTATTTATGGTTTATAAATTCATTGGTTGCCTTCCATCCTATAGGCTACTTTCCTGATAAAAGTAAGACCAATGGCAGAGGTCAACATTTTTTCTTTATTTAAGAAAACCTATTTTTTATGATTTATTACTCCTCCCCCTTTTTGGTTATTTAGGACATAGAATTTATCAAACATTTAGGGTTATAGAGACCAGAAGAATCTAAATTGAAGAGCAGGTTGTGAATTCAAAGTCTATAGGTCCTTTCCAAAGTTATTGTAATGAGCGAATTTTTATCTTTATTTTTCTCTTTTCTGTCACTAACTTGATGAAAGTTTCTCTGTGTGTGTGGTTCTTTTTAAAATATGTTTTTATTGAGTTCAGAGAGGAAAGGAGAGGGAGAGAGAGAGATAGAAACATCAATGATGAGAGAGAATCATTGACCAGCTGCCTCCTGCACGCCCCACACTGGGGATTAAGCCTGCAACCTGGGCATGTGCCCTGACCGGATATCGAACCGTGACCTCCTGGTTCATAGGTCAATGCTCAACCACTGAGCCACGCCAGCTGGGCTGATTTAGTTGATATTTAAATGAGACTTTTAGACTTGAGTTGATGCTGGAATGAGGTAAGACTTTTGGGGCTGATGGGATGGAATGAATATATTTTGAAGGTGATTAGGATATGCATTTATGGCTTTGGGACAGAGGCAGAATGCTTTTGGGCTGAATTGTGTCCTCTAAAACTCATGTTGAAGGCCTAACCCCTCAATGTGACTGTATGTAGAGATAGAGCTTGTGAGGAAGTGTTAAAGCTTAAATGATGTCATAGGGTGGGGCTCTAATCTGATAGGGCTGGTGCCCCTTTAAAAAGAGGAAGAGCCCTGGCTAGTGTGGCTAGAGTGTCAGCTGTCCACCAAAGGGTCTCAGGTTCTCCGGGTCAAGGACACATAACTGGGTTGCAGGTTCGATCCCTGGCCCCAGTTGGGGTACGTGTGGGAGGCAACCAATTGATGTGTCTCTCGCATGTATTCTTCTCTCTATCCCTCTCTCCTCTTCCTCCTTCCTCCCTCCCTCCCTCCCTCCCTCCCTCCCTCTCACTTTCTCTAAAAATCAATGGAAAAAAATATCCTCGGGTGAGGATTAACAAAAAAATAAAAATAAAATACAAAGAGACACCAGAGCTCTCTCTGCCATGTGAGGACACAGCAAGAAGATGGCCATTTGCAAGCGAGGAAGAGGCCTCTCACCAGAAACTGAACCCTGCCAGAACTTTGATCTTTGATTTTTCAGCCTCTAGAAACTGAGAAAATAGATTTCTGTTGTTTAAGCCACCCAGGCTATGGCATTTTGTTATGGCAGCTGGAGCAGACTAATACACTTAGGGAAACAAATCTATATAATTGGAGGGAAAATATCTGGAAAAAGAGGCACCAAAATATTAACCAAATTTGTCTCTGATAGTGGGATTATGACTTTTTAAAAAACATATTTTTATTGATTTCAGAGAGGAAAGGAGAGGGAGAGAGAGATAGAAACATCAATAATGAGAGAGAATCATTGATCGGCTGCCTCCTGCACACCCCCTACTGGGGATCGAACCCACAATGTGGGCATGTGCCCTTGGCTGGAATCGAACCTGGGACTCTTCAGTCCCCAGGCCGATGCTCTATCCATTGAAGCAAACTGGCGAGGGCTCCCAGTTACAATTTAGGAGGAAGGGCCCTGGCCAGTGTGGCTCAGTTGGTTGGGTGTTGTCCAGTGAATCCTTCCAGTTCTTACATTTTCTAAATAATTAACTAAGTACTACTTGTACTAGTTAAAAGTTATTAACAGGAGTAATGGAGTCATTGAGTCCTTGTTCTAGATCTGTGTTTGCTGTCGTCTCTCTGAGTGTTTTTGGAAGTCTTTCCACTTGAACTTAAGTTTCTTGATGTATAAAAAAGAATTGTTCTAAATGAGCTCTAGATTGTACCTACAGATAGGTATAGAGTTCAGATTAGCAATTCTCCTGCTTAGGTAGACATCTAACCTGTCTGGCTCCCATTTTTTGCCAGCATCCCCAAACTATTCATCTTTCCCCTCCCCAGGAGATAGGGAATGGACGGGCTAACCTCTCTTCACCAATAGCTGCTCTTGCAAAAGATAAAAGAGTTCCACCCACATTCTACAAGACAACTGGCAAGGATTCAGTTAATTGTCTTATAAAATTTCCTAAAATCTGGATTTGTCCTATTGTTTCTTCATAATTAGATTCTGGTTATTACCTAGCTGATACTAATTTTTAAAAATTATTTGTGATTATTTGTGATGCTGATGTTAATTATTAGTTTAGATGGTGTTTTCTGGATCTTTCCACTGTTAGGGTATTCCGCCCCCCCCCCTTTGTAATTAATAAGTAATCTGGAGGGGGGCATACTACTTTGAGACTGTGTGTACATATCCTATTTTCTCATAACTTTTCATTCATTAATATTAGAATCTGTTATGATGGTTGCAAAATGATGATTTTCTAATTGTCATTACTTTTACATTGAGTAGCTGTCTTTTTCTCTTCTCTCCTACTTTTTTTATGACTGTCACTATGAACTCATGAATTCTTTTTTAAAAAAGCTTTTTAAATTTATTTTTAGAGAGAGGGGAAGGGAGTGGGAGAAAGAGAAACAGCCATCTGAGAGCAATACATTGATCGGCTGCCTCCTGCATGCCCCTACCCTGAAGCCTCTTTTCAAATATGCTAGCATTATTATCAGTTCACTAAATGTGCTTTTGTATGTATAATTTCATTTACCTGAAACATTTCCCCCCTCCCTTTCTTGGTATTTGTCCCTAGTAAAATCTAACTGTCCTCATTAATTGTTCTACTGGTTAGTGAAATGTTTTAGTGCATTTTGGGAGTGGAGAAGGTAACTGGCTTAATTAACCTGGTGTTATTTCTCTTATAATAATGGTAATGGGCTTAAGTGAGAATAGGGAACTGGTTGTCCAGACAGCATAACTACTGTTATTTTCTTTTTCTTTTTTTTTTTTTTTACTACTGTTATTTTCATGGGTTAGTAATGGAACTTGTAGATGGGATTGGGTCATTTGTTTGGTTTACTCATGCTATAAGCATTTATTGACCACTTACTATGTATAAGAAACTGCTATGCAGTGCTGTGGAACATGGAGGAAAGAGGCAATGTCTTGTAAGCAGAGGCTTCTTTGGTCCCAGAGTTTCACTGAGAAACAGTATTGTTACTTGCCTGGAGCAATCTAGGTTGCAAGCTAATCTGAAGTCCTACATGATTATTTTTCAGTTTTCTTTTTAAAAGAAACAAGATAATTACCCCTTAGCAGTTGCTATGACAACTGTGCTATGGCCTGGGAGAATTTTCAGCTGAAGTCCCTCTCTCCCCAAGGTTAGAAAGTTTAATAAATTATTAAAATTTAAAAATTGCACAGTATCCTTTCAGAGAAGAAGCCATAGGTGGTAGGAAGAAGTTAAGTACATAGGAAGCAAACTGACACTCAGTGTACAGTTAAATTAAACAGTCTGTGACTAGTAGTCCCATATCCCCAGGATTGGAAGTTAGCTCAGGTAATGAAGCCAGCCTGTGTTGGCATCATTCGATGCTTCTAGAATTTTGATTCTTACAGCAAGCTTTCAAGGGAACTGCATCCTCAGAACTCTGACATTGGCGATCTCTCAGCAAACATTAGGGCCGTCAGAGTGTGCCGACCCTCCCACTACCTATTTATCGGGAACCTATAAGGCAAGCAAAAATCTGGCAATATGACAAAACTAATTTTCTCTTGTAATCCTTACAACTTTTTCAAGATTAGATAGCTAGTATGTGGCAGGGCCAGAATAACTTAGCTTTGACTTCAAGACCAATATGAAGCCAAATTATTCATTGTTTCTTAGGATAAAGGCCTATATTTAGTGATTTCTTTGTCACATTTGTTGCCTCAAATTTAGTTTGAGTGTGGAATAGGAGTTAAATTTAGTTAATATTGAATTTTTTATTTTGAAAAATGAATAGAAAATGTAATTTCTCCTGTCATTCAAAGCTTCTGTGTTTTAATAGATTTTATTTAAAATGTGTAGGTAATTGAGAAAAAAATGCTATCTCTGGGGACCCAACAGGCTACAGTGTTTTATTACATATTGAAAAATGAGAGAGTACGATTGTTCTTTGGCCTTTTAACTTTCAATAGAGAGAAGCAAAATTGGACACCATCGCTTCCAGAAAAGGGACTCACTCTCCCACTGTATCAGGACTGAGCCTCTCCTGGGTATACTGTGGTAGGCTCAGGTTTAATGAACACAGAGACAAGGAAGGGTTTCGTAGAGGCAGGTTGAGTTTTTCTCATTTGGAGTAAGGAAGGGTATATCAGCTTCTAAATGACGTTGTAGGCCAGAGGCCTGTTAAAAAGAGTATGGAAGCAGTAGTTTTTTTTTTTTTTTTTTTAATATATTTTATTGATTTTCTACAGAGAGGAAGGGAGAGGGATAGAGAGTTAGAAACATCAATCAGCTGCCTCCTGTACACCCCCTACTGGGGATGTGCCCACAACCAAGGTACATGCCCTTGACCGGAATCGAACCTGGGACCCTTCAGTCTGCAGGCCGGCGCTCCATCCACTGAGCCAAACCGGTTAGGGCGGAAGCAGTAGTTTTTTGTTATTCCCTATATAGTGACTAGTAGAGGGCAAGAGTACTTTGTGTGTAGATTTGTCTTATGCTTGGTAGAAGGCAGATGCTCTTTACATGTTATGTAAAATTAATGGAATACAAGTAGGGAAGGCTCAAATAAGGTAAGGTATATAATAATTGGTGGGCTGGGGAAATGATCTTCGAATTCTTCCTAAAATTGTCTCTGTCACTCTTTTCTTGCTACCACTTGCGGTGTTGTTAGGTCACTGGACCTATCTGGGCTGGGGAGAGCAGCAGAGTACGTAAGAATTTGAATTCCTTATAATTTTCTTGATCTTATCCTTTAACATACTCTCTCTGAACTATAAAGCTGGATATTCATGCATACAAGCA